AAAGAAATGGAAAAATTATTTTTGTCTATATAAGGATCCTTTCTCCAATCTGCATAAGGCTGTGTGGTAAATGAGGAAGAGCTTTGTGTAATCAATTAGGTGATTTCTGCAAAGAACTCTCCCCTGCCCACCATCTCATTTGCTATATAACTTCCAAATGCTGTGAATGATGCAAGAGGAAACAAAGTAAAAAATCTTTTTGTTTTGTTTTGTTTTTTGGCAAGGCATGGGACCCAGGACTCAGAACCGGGTTCTGTCCCTGTCTCTTCCACAGTCTATGTATTGTAAGCCAAGTCATTTAAACCAGAATTTTTAGAAATGGCTTTTTGTTAGTCACTTTCTGGATAATCATCCTGTCCTGCTCATTCAGAAGTGGTGAGCACTTACAGCTTCTAACTTTAGTTGAAATCAGTGGGTTCTGGTGGGGCTAAGCATGTTTGAGAAATCAAGCATGAGGTGTATAAAAATGAGCATTCGAGACTTAGAAACAGTCTTTTAAATCTTGGTCTTAACATCTGACTTGACTCTGCATCTGTACAATGGGGATGATGTACATGGTGGTAGAAGTAAGTGTTAAGAAAATACATGTTAGTAATGTATGAGACACTTGGACACTGTTGCTTAGTGAAATAGAAAAGTCCATTAGAAAATACAACCTACTCTGTTCAGTGTTGTATTTAGATGATATTCCATATTTAAGGTATTAAATCATACATTAATGAAGAGGATGAAAGGAAGTTGAACAGTAGCTGCCTCCTCGGCCAGGACTCTCTATCCCGGCTACTGAATAAAACAGGAAACATGAGGAGAATACAGAGTGTAGCCATATTTTGGAAGATGTATCATACATAAATGCAAGGTGTCATGATTAGAGTTGCATAGGCAATATTAATTCAGTCATTTCTTAACTTTTGAGTGCTTGATGGTCTTTTTTGTGGTGCCTATCACTAAAGTGAGTTCATCACAAACATCTAGTTTAATCTCACAACGATGTTGTGCAAATTAAGGTGGTGGTATCTCCAATTTACAGGTATAGAATTGAAGAACAAAGATTAAGGTTTACAGTATCCACTAAATTTGGGTACCCAATTTCAGATACCTGGAACTTGAGTTATTAGAGCGTATATTATAGAAGATTTACCCGGTGTTGCTCAGGTCCTTAATTCAATTAATTTTCCCCCCATTATTTAAATCACTGGTATGGCTTGGGGCTATGGATGAGGAGTTCAGTATGCAGATTGCGCCAGGAAGAGAGGACTACCTCTATCAGCCCATTTGGTTGTAGCCAGGTGAGAAATGCCTCTCCATGGCCATTGAAGTTCCACTGGGCACAGATTGGGAGGGGTGCGTGTCCTCTTTCTGGGGCATCTCCAGGTTCATCTGCCCTTTGTGTTCCCCTGCCAGTGTGAGAAATGCAGCAAACTGCGTTTTCTCCTTCCTGATGAAGGTGAACAGCCAGCAATGTTTCCATATAAACGGGGAGCTTCAGCTCCCCTACCTTCCCTAAAGTGTGCCTGAGGGGTGGCAGGCTTGGAACTGGGACAATTCTGGATAGAGGGGCACCCCAGCCAGCCCCTTTCACCTGCCTGGAGATTTTCTCTTTTCTGTACGATTTTATGAGAAGGAACCCCATTCTAGGCACATCCCATTACTCTGGCACAACTAAACCCTTGCCTTGCTTTAAGTTATGATAAGAGGAAGCAGTATAGCTTAGGAGAACAGACAGACATGCAAACAGATAAACTCTATTAGGTAGTAGACTTTACATATTCAAGAACAGCTCCCATTGACTTTAGCTGCGGGTTGTGAGCATTCAGCACTTCTGCTAGTCAGACCCAGACTATCAAGTTGGGCATCTAGAAAATGAGGAATACACGCCTAGTGGCTACCTCTAAACATTTTGGTTTAATTGGCTTTTACGTTATGGTGAGATTCTGTGACAGGCAAGAAAAGATTCTGGAGAGGACTATCCAATTGCCTTGACAATGGGACCCTCCTTTCTTTCGCAGTCCCCTGCCTCATTCACTCCCTGCCATCTGACTTTTACAGTGAATGAAGCTGTGGTCCTACAATCATGTCTCTTTCATTACATAGCTCTAATTTATTGCCAGAGTACAGTCCATCTTGTCTTGAATGTAGGAGGGGTACCATGGAAAAAATAGTAGGTGATCATGTAAATAAGGACTATCATAATGCATTCTCACAAGGGGCCAAATTAAAGTTGTACCAGCAACCTTAATTCTGGCATTTCTTAACCTTTGAGTACTTTACTTTACAACCTGAATGTTCTTTTAATGTAGTTTTTATGTGTGTATTTTCCTAGGTTTTAAAAAAAAAAGCAAACTGGGAAAAGAAATGCCATCATGTGGCAGTCACATGGACCTGGTTCATCATGTTTGGAGCTCTTAGATCCATCATACAGACTTGTGGCACTTAAGCAAAATGAGTAGCTGATAGCAAAAGTAGGTTGTCCTCCTCTGTGCGGACTAGCACTAGAAGTGGATACATGTACGCACGCACATGCCCGCTGTCACTTTGCCACTGGGTATCATGGGTGTTTGCAGGGAAACTGTAGGTCAGGATTCATGGGTTCCATGCCTTCCTCTGGAGGTGGAGCTATAGCAGTACGATCTGGACCACTCTGCTTTGTCCCTTTCATTGTGGCCTTGGCTCTTCACAATTTCTAGCTCCTCATTCCAGTCCCATTCTATGTACCTAACCAGTTCCAGTCTCCAGTCTTTAAACTTCTTGCCCCATCCTCTCCCACTCCCAGACACAATTTAGTCTTGTACTGTTCTATTGTGGCTCTTGCCACCTCTTCATTTTAATCAGGAAGCTTTCTCCTCTATGCTGCCTGGGGGGTCAGTGGACTAAGTATTGAGAATTCAGCAGACAGTTTCCCAAGCTTCAGTCCTGATCAGCCCTGGGGATAGACCGTGGGAATTAATCTGCAAATAAAGTCTCTACTGAAACTGCAAACTTTTTTTAAAAAAGGTTTATAACTTAGTGAACTTTGAGTGCATTTTCTTAGGGAGAGCGAAAGAGCCACATCTTTGATACAAAGCCGTTTTTGGGACCCTTATCAGAAGATTGGGAGGCGGAGGGGCTCTAGAGTCTTTTCCAAGTACGGATCAGTAAAAATCTTAATATGGATAAAACAATACATTTTTTGCTAATCACGTTCTGAAATTACTTAAATGTTTCAGCTGACATCTTCCAAAAAAGTGAGCCTGAACCAGATAATAAGCGTAGATAATTTCAGCCCAAAGGGTTAAAGTTTTGGGCAATATTTTTATAAGCCGCAGAAAACAGGCTTTTAATGGGAAATGCCAGTTAATCTTATTATGCAGTGCTAACTATCCCATTTATGCTAGCTTTGTGTCAAAGTTGACTGACTTTATAGCTGTATATAGCTAAATGCAATTTTTGTGAATATTCTATATAATATAAAACCACAAATATTTCTACAGAAAAATAAATTGAAATCACCGAACGTCATTTTTAGAAATTAAATCTCATTATGGTAATTTTCAGAGGTAATATACCAGTGAAATAGCTTCTCTTCTGAAAAGGTAATATCTGAGTCAGCAGTTATCACACACAGTTTTCTTTCATTCTGAAAACATTCTTGTCATTCTTTCTTAGAAAAAACTTGATCCTGCAAATCAGCGAATACTAGAATTCCCTTATTTCAGTGTTTCAAACTCCTAATTAAGTAAATCTGTTTATTTAAATACTAGATACCACTGGCCATTATCCAACCTTCATTTAACTAACTTATTTTCCAATAATTATATCTAGAAGGCTAACCAATAACCATGTTGCCGAAGATAACAGCTGCAAATGTGAAAGTAGAGATTTGCATATTTTTATATAACAGGGTTTTAGAAACAGAGTTTGAATAGCTTGTCACTTTTAACAGGTGTAACTGCATTTATTACCTGGATGCTGATATACTTATCTTTGTGCTTTGAACAGTATTCTTTATTGTCCTTTAGTTGTGACATCTTGAATGATTAATCATAATCCTGAGTGGATTAAGGACTAAAACGACCCGAGTGATGAAACTTTTAAATTAACTCACTATTCTCTCTCTTTATATATTAAAAAAACTTTTCCTGTGGGATACAGAATGATATCATGCATCACTTTGTATCCCACAACCCTTCCCTGCCTCCCCCCCATGCTCTGGGGAGCCACAAGGCCTCCCACCTGCCTGGTGCTCTGGGGAACCGGGAGCAATGCAGCCTTGCCCATCCCCAGATCTCGGGATCGGTGAGAGAATGGGAGCCTCGCAGCCTCTGGCCATGCTTGGCCCAATCTCCCTCCCGGCAGCCAGGGGGAAAGCCGGGCCCAGCACGGCTTGGTTTGGTATGGTGTGGTGTGTTTTGTGTTTTGTTTTGTAAGCTGTGTTTAATTAGCTGGCCTTCAGTGGGCATCATAAGAAGTTACTTAATATTTAGAACTTTAATTATACATTTGTATTCAAAACAAGCAAATTTTGAAGTGAGCATATAAGAATGACATTACATTTGATGATAGGAAATATTCTTTCTGAGCACATCAGAGAAAGGGGAGAGTAGTATATAGATATGCTTCATAGCATGACACAGTATGTAGTTTCAAACTAATACAAACATAGTGTCATAAAGTAAGTTATAACAGTTATAGCCTGACTGCCTAAAATTATTAGTGTTTATGGGGTGGGAGACACATTTTCAATAAGATGACTAAACTGCCATTTTAAAAAAAGTAAATGGTTTGGAAAGTGTGTAAAACTTTTTATAATATATAACAAAGGTACTCCTATGAATTTCTCTTGTTTTTATTAGACTACTACCAAATCCAAAAACCACCAGCAGCAAAAGTGTATAGGTGGCATTTTCCACTCCACCTACATCCGTCTTACCCCTGTCTGGCCAGTCTCTTCAGTCAAGTCCAAAAAACATGCCTATGTAAATGAATTATGTAATTGGATCAGTCTGTTAAAATACTATTTTAAAACATTCTCCTTTATGGAAAATAAAATAAGTTATAAATATATTCAGAGAGGTTTGAATACTTGTGCAAATTGTGACTGAATAGTCCTAATAAAAAACTAACATGTAAAAAAGCAAAAGTGAACTAGAACTGCATATAAGGATATATAATACTAGATCTAAATGAATATTGCCCAATAAGTTGACATGCACAGTGCAGGAAAACAAAATATGGGAATTTTAAAATGGCTGATTTTTATAATCTACTTTTTCTCCATATTTGTTGTTGCTTTACTTTTAATGATGAATCAAGTAATTTTTATAGAATTTCTCTGCTTATTTGAAATGCAGCCTATAAAAGCAGATTGCAATTGCTTATGGTAATAAAGTATTTTAAATGTGTGTAAAATAATGTACAAGTGCTTTGTATTGACATTGTTAAAATGTTATTTAATAATTAATACATGATATTTTCTTGTTTACGTTACTTTTTCCGTCCAAGCAAATATGTTTCTTAAATGTCAGGAGTAACTTAAAGGGAATGCTGTTGTTTTGTCATGCTTTACTATTAGAAAATACTTTATTAAAAAAACATTAAGCTTGACAAAGATTTTTTTTAAATAACAAACTGTTTAAGTGCCACTCTCCAACCTGGATTTTATTTGTCCCCCCACCAGGCTCTTGTGTTGTTCGTGATGCCACAGGGAACATCAATGATACTATCATTACCGAACTGAAAAATTGCACTACTGCCGCTTGCAAGTTAAATTTTGACTTCTCATCTTGTCAGAAAAAGTGTCCCTATGGACTGCTGAATGACTTCCAGGTGAGACACATTAAGGCTTGACAGAGCATCAATTGACTGGTTTTTGTCGGATTTTTTTGTATTTATTTCACACATTTGGTATACTTAATAAGCTGTTGTAAATGAAGGGAAAGTGTGGAATATGTTTGTTCTTTAGGAAACAAGTCTTTAAAGAAATGCAGTCTTAAATGTTGTTTCATGTGCCTTCCTTAAAGGCTTTCTTTAGTAAGGCATTTTCACTATTGCCTACAGAAGAGCAAGGTGCATTTGTGGTAAAGAATTGTACTTTTATCTCCAATACTATACACGAGCAAATTATGTGGCTGGTAGATTGCAGAATGTTCTGAACCATTAAAACATCTTTCTAGCAGATAGGCTTTTGCAGTCATTAACTTTCTTAACTATCACTTGCTTTTTATCTTCTAACAAGTGAAAAGCTTTTTGGTAATACATCTGTTCATTCCATCATTGTTTTTAAGTAAATTTTTTTCTATTGTCCTTGTTCTTAGTTTGTTATAATTTTTATTATACCTTGCTGATATTCCCAGAATGTTTTAATTCATTATAAAAGTAAAAACATTTATCCGGGTACCAAACTAATTTTATTATAAAAAAAATTAATCATATTACCATATTGAAAGGGGAATGCATTAAATTGAAATTTAGCATGTGTATTTGAGGCTAGTTTTGTTCTTCCCATAAGCAAGCTAGTTTTTGTGACTTTACAATAATTTTTCCTATTTTTTGCCATATTTATTTATTTCCTTTTGTTCCTTGTGTGTTTAAAAAAAAAAAAAAATAGATCAGTTTCAGCAGCAGCTGACTTGGGGATGCCTGGGGCAGAACAGCTGGGGTGCTGCTGGGTTGCCCCAGTAGCGCCGCTCCTCAGTGCTACTGGAGCAACCCAGCAGCACCCCAGCTGCTCTGCCCCAGGCATCCCCAAGTCAGCTGCGGCTGAAACTGATCAGCGGCGGATTCCAGGAAGCCCGGGGCAGAGCAACCGTGCCTCGGGCTTCCTGTAGTCAGCGCTGGTCAGTTTCAGCAGCCGCTGAATCTGGACGCCAGTTCCGACTTACATACAGATTCAACTTAAGACCCCCAAGTCCCCAAGTCAGCTGCGGCTGAAACTGATCAGCGGCGGATTCCAGGAAGCCCGGGGCAGAGCAACCGTGCCTCGGGCTTCCTGTAGTCAGCGCTGGTCAGTTTCAGCAGCCGCTGAATCTGGACGCCAGTTCCGACTTACATACAGATTCAACTTAAGACCCCCAAGTCCCCAAGTCAGCTGCGGCTGAAACTGATCAGCGGCGGATTCCAGGAAGCCCGGGGCAGAGCAACCGTGCCTCGGGCTTCCTGTAGTCAGCGCTGGTCAGTTTCAGCAGCCGCTGAATCTGGACGCCAGTTCCGACTTACATACAGATTCAACTTAAGACCCCCAAGTCCCCAAGTCAGCTGCGGCTGAAACTGATCAGCGGCGGATTCCAGGAAGCCCGGGGCAGAGCAACCGTGCCTCGGGCTTCCTGTAGTCAGCGCTGGTCAGTTTCAGCAGCCGCTGAATCTGGACGCCAGTTCCGACTTACATACAGATTCAACTTAAGACCCCCAAGTCCCCAAGTCAGCTGCGGCTGAAACTGATCAGCGGCGGATTCCAGGAAGCCCGGGGCAGAGCAACCGTGCCTCGGGCTTCCTGTAGTCAGCGCTGGTCAGTTTCAGCAGCCGCTGAATCTGGACGCCAGTTCCGACTTACATACAGATTCAACTTAAGACCCCCAAGTCCCCAAGTCAGCTGCGGCTGAAACTGATCAGCGGCGGATTCCAGGAAGCCCGGGGCAGAGCAACCGTGCCTCGGGCTTCCTGTAGTCAGCGCTGGTCAGTTTCAGCAGCCGCTGAATCTGGACGCCAGTTCCGACTTACATACAGATTCAACTTAAGAACAAACCTACAGTCCCTATCTTGTACGTAACCCGGGGACTGCCTGTATATTAAAATTTAAATTAATTGTATCCTTTTATTTAAAATCACTTATCTAAAGTAGCTTTTAAAAACCTATCTGTAACATCAAATCTACTCAGGATTTTTTGTTATGTGGTTTTCCATGACTTATCTGTATTTCTTTACACAATGCACAGTCAACCTGTGAAACTCCTTGCTAGAGAATGTTGAGAAGGCCAGGACTTTAAGAGGATTAACCAAAAAAACTAGATAAATTAGGTTCTTTAATGACTTTTGCCAGGATGGGAAGGAATGGTGTCCCTAGCCTCTTGTTTGTCAGAAGTTGGACGCCAGGGGATGAATCACTTGATTACCTATTCTGTTCATTCCCTCTGGGACACCTGGAAGATAGGATACTGGGCTAGATGGACCTTTTTATCTGACCCAGAATGGCTGCTGTCATGGTCTTGTGACTAGAGAACTGTTAATGGAGTCACTTCACCTTGAATGGCTCTTTGAAAGACGTAGAATCATAGAATACTAGAACTGGAAGGGACTTTAGCATTTTCACTGCTTATGCTAAATAATCTGTTCTACCATGTAGTTGGCAGTGATTCGCTGTGTACATTTTCCAGTTCTGAAGAAGAGCTGTGTATAAGCTGACAAACAGAAATTGGTCCAATGATAGGTTAACTCACCCATTTTGTCTCTGTAGTATCCTGGGTTCAATATAGCTACAACAACACAGGTTAAATAAATATTAGTTACTAAGTATTAAACATTTATGAGAAGAAATCAAACTCAATGCATTCAAAGGGTGTACAACCTGGATGAAATATCACACTCGGTGTCTACCTGAATGTAGAAAATGCCTGGCTTGTGTAAAGACCACATGATAACCATACTTCATCTCTGGAGTCACAACTGGTATTTCCATTTTATTTTTAATATAAATATTAGTGCACCCCAAAATCTGTTAGAATAACATTAGAGTTACAAAATCAAGGACTCAAAAGTTAGGGAGTGACAGTATTAAGAATCCCTGTGCAATTGTAATTTGGCCTCTTGTGCCATATGCATTATCATTGTCTTTAATTACGTGATCGCCTACTATGTTTTCCAGAGGATCCCTGTCTCATTCAATGAACAGATAAATATTATTTCTCCACATTTAATGTGTGACCACAGGTCTGATTACATACACTATCCAAACATTTCACTGAGTATTAATTTCCTTATAGCCATTTCAGTGGTGCTGTCACCAGAGTATTTGAGTGATTCACAAACATACATTAATTTGTCTTTATAACAATCCTGCGAGAGGTTGTACTATTATCACTATTGAGCAAGGTGGGAACTAAATGTTGATGTTAAGGCCAAAATTGTCAACTAACTTAGGGTATCCAATTTGAGACACCTAATTTTTTTAAATTATTTTTAGTATACTAGGCATTTTTATAGTACTTGTATATTTAATACATGTGCAAATCTGGGCATCCAGAAAATGAGGAACATTCAATTAAACACAAAAAGTTTAGTTTAGTTTAAAAGGCTTATCTAGCATCAAATACGCACTTGTTGAGAGAGGAAGGAATAGAGTCTAGTTCTTCAGGGCAGCTTCCATGTTCAATATCTTTACTTAATAGACTTTTTGGTAAAATCTAAGAAAAAGTAAATATTTTCATGAAATTCTTTAAAATTCCAAAGATTCAGCTTGAACTTTTCTCCCTGCTATGTTGGCATCACCCAACCTGTTCACTAGAAAATAAAATAGATGAGAATCTCAATAAGAAAGAAAAACAGTCTTGGTGGTTGCTGCCCTATCATTCTAGTCCCAACTTCTTAATAGCTGGTTACAAAGGTAAATTATCTTTAAAAATGAAAACTCTATTTGTATTTTTCAATTTATTTTAATTTACATTGGAATATGAACATGTACAGAAAACTGAACAGAAGACTATCATGTCTAATTATACTTTACTTTTCCCTTTTTGAGTCTACAGAAATTCCTTCCATGTAAGTTGCTTAAAATATCAATTTATTAGATGTTTAGTCATGGTAATTATGGTTAGCAGTCTCCTCCATTAAATGCATCTTGTGGGGTATTTAAAAAAAAAAAAAGTTTTCAATTTGATGTTGTTGCTTTCATATTTGGAATGGACTTCCGAGTTCTTTTAATTAGCATTAGAATAATGTGAAGCATTGACTCTGGACAAAGGAGACTCACTTAGCACTGGTCTATACTGCCAGCTTATGTTGGTATAACTACATCCCTCAGAGGCGTGGAAAATATGTAGGTAGAAGTGGTTAGCCTTCTTTAGTAAAGTCCCTCCCACAAATATCCTTAGGATCAAGTTTAACCTTTAATGGCTATCCTGGGTTTGTGCAGTGCTTGTTTCCTTCGTGATTAAGCATTCTTATAACTTTGGTTTGTGTATAATGTTACTTGATATGTCAGGGATGGGCAAATACTGGCCCGTGGGCCAGATCTGGTCTGCTAGGATTAGCCCCTAGCAGGCCTCCACACTACCATATTTACCTATGCCTTCATAGGTCTGGGGGGATTGCAGCTCTTGTTAGTCATTGATCACCGTTCCCAGCCAATGCCATCACCAGAGGTGCAGGTAAATACAGTGGCAGCGGAACTCCAGGGACTAATCTTGGTGAACGGCCACTGTTTCATTGCCTAGGCCTGTCATATGTACACTCATCCTTAACACTAGCTTAAATAGTGACTACGGAATGTGATGGTTTCAATATTACATCTGTAATTAGTTGAGGATTTTTTTTAACATCACAAATCACAGGAGTTGTACAGCTTCATCCATTACATACAAGAGTTTGAATCGCTGTCTTGAATATTCGAAGTACCTAGCAATTCATTGATTTTCCTATTGTATTGCTAATATAATAATAGTAATTATTTTAAAATATGTTCATGACTTCTGTCATCCTTAGTAAACATATTGAAGTTTCATAAGTGAGAGATTTGATTTCTTTAATAAAAATATTTTTTCTTAATCTCAGAAATTTGCATCTGTAAATCCTGTTTCTCTAACCCATTTGCTGCAATATTTATTCCATCAACTTTCTTTTCCATAAACTCTAATGCCTAAGCTCCATTTTCTGAGATCAAGTGATAATTTTGTGTTTTGAAACCATGTTTTTGTAACTTTATAACAGTGAAAGCATCTTCCAAAGCAAGTAATGACACAGTAATCTTAGGACTTGCAGGAATGTGGCAGTTTTTTATTTATTAATAAAATTACATTTGAACTTCAGTAACGTACAGCTATAATTAGCATGTGTTTATATATAAAACATTCTTTAAGTATACATTAAATATGCACAATGCATGAAGATGTTTTTCTTGGTTTCATTTTTTTTAAACAGTGGACTGTTATGGGGGTGTTGCTAGTCTTCATTGTCAATGTAAATACAATTGGTTCACTTTGGCGCGCACAGTGTTTAATACTGAATTTATTTGTTCTCCGTCCTGACCCCTTTGCTCCCATGGTCAGTAAGGAAGGGTAAGGCTTATAGGATGAAAGAAGTATTCATTCAGTGCAAGTGATGCATGATCTCATTCTGACATTGATATTATGTTTGAAAGGTACAAATGTTGGGTTTCGCCAAGTGACTGAAAATGCCAATCAGATTTTCAAGATGTTATCAAAGGTACAATAGTCTGTCTGTCTTCTGCCAGTCTCAGTCTGTCTTATGCACAGAACAGTAGCTCCAGTAGTTAAGTTGTAACCATTTTAAAATATGCAGTTTCACATCTTAATTTCCATAGGTGTTATTGTATGACAGCAAGAGGTAACATACAATAGAAGAAAGTTCTTGACTTGTTTGTTTGTTTGTCATTTTGTAATTTGACTGAGTAGGCCTTAAAAGTAGCAGTTTTGTCATAATGAACGAGTTTCACAAGTATTAAAATCTTTATAATACAAAGAGCCATTGGAATGAAATTATCTAATTGCTATATCTCTTGTATGTGAGATGACTCACTATAAAGAATGAAATAGATAAATTAACTTGATAGAAAACCTGTTATATTTACCAATTTGTGCCCATATATTAAAGAGTAATTAGAGGCCTCAGGTACAATATGAAGATTTCAAGGGCAGCACATGAAAAATGTCTGCTTTTACAACATTACATATTGCAAGTCCTCCAGTATATATCACAGTAGGATGTACATTATATTCCTCTTCAAAAGTAATCTTTCCATATTAACACTGAAGTATTTCTAACTATAGACAGATTTCTTTTTCATGCCCTACTCATTGAAAATATTCCTTATTTGTTTGAGATTGCAAACAATATACTAACTGTGATGGTGACTTCTTTCTTTAACATTGATGCTTGATGTATTAAAACTAAATTGGAACTGTAAACTTAAAATGTAAACCCAATACATTATTAGTTGGAGACAAATTGTAGGTCCATAATCTGTTCAATCATGTTGTATAGCTAATGTAATTAACAAACAAATTAAACTTGCTCAAAAAGAATCCTTTTGCATTGAGAGTATATGCAGCTAGAATTTGTTTTTTCTCAGATGGCACTAATGTGTATGTTTATTTCACATTTACAACTTCCTTTTCATTTCATTTTTTTACCTTGTTTGCTACCTTTTTGTGCTCTTATCTTCATACTGTAATAATTATCACATCTTTATTTTAACCCGAATAGCATTTGCATAACTGAAAAGAAGTTCTGGTACCATTCTAGTCTTCCATTAGGTAGCATCCTAGTAGCACCTCCTTACTCACCTACCTGATTAGATACTGAGGCTTTTGTTATACATTCCCTCTTTTACCAGACTGGAATATAAGGTTCTTTTACAGTTAGCATTCTAGCTGAAGTGGCTAGGAAACCGAAGAAAACTCCCTCCTTACTCTCTTGACAAAATTCTAGGCTTCATTCTTTAGGGATTTTTTGGCCACATTTATTGGAAGAATAATACTTGCTTGGTCCTCTACTACTTTTTTCTAGTCCTTTTTCTGTGAAGAAAGATGGCAAATGTTAAAGACAAAAAGGAGGATTAATTAGAGAGACTTACAAAGGGCACTATTTAAGAAGAATGTTTATAAATTGGAGAGAGTTTTGAGAAGAGCCATGAGATTGACTTAAATAATTAGAAAATATCCCATATGACGACACGTCAACTATTTAGCTTAACAAAGAAAAGGTTAAAGAGGGTGTCAGTCTGCAAGTACCTATATAGGGAGCAAATGTTTGCAGATGCAGTCTAGCAGATGAAGGTACAGGCAGTCCCCGGGTTACGTACAAGATAGGGACTGTAGGTTTGTTCTTAAGTTGAATTTGTATGTAAGTCGGAACTGGTACATATTGTAGGGGAAACTCTAGCCAAACATTTCTCCAGAGCTCAGTTTTATTCTCCCACACCCTACTTCCCTCAGTCCTTTATTCTCAAGCTGAGGTGTCTGCTGAGAAAAGCCGCTCCGCGTCTCCCTAGTCTGCTGAGGGGGCAGGCGCTAGCTTCGCGTCTCCCTTGTCTGCTGGGGGGAAGCAGCTAGTGCGGGGTTACCTCACCCCGTTTGTAAGTAGGGATCCGATGTAAGTCGGATCCATGTAACCTGGGGACTGCCTGTATTTCAAGTTCTAATGACTGGAAGCTGAAACAAGACAAACACTGGAAATGAGGAGCACATTTTTAACAATGAGGGTAATTAACCACTGGAAAAAATACACCAAAGGTTGTGGTGGATTCTTCATTACTCGTAATTCTTAAATCAAGTTTGGATTTTTTTAAATTTCTAGCAGGCTGCGCCCCATGCTTGCTACACTTGCCAGCCCTCCTTGCTCTGGCAGCTTTCATAGCCAGAGAGTGCGATGACATTGTTCTATTATATAAAGAGAGAGAAGAGGGAGATGCTCTAGTTCAGACAAGAATTATTTTGAAGTTTTATGATCTGTTATGCAGGAGAGCAGATTAGATCACACAAGTGCCTTCTGGCCTTTAGAGTTCGTAAGAAAGTATTGGACCATCAACAGAGATTTCATGCTCCTGGTCCTGGGAGAGGAGCAGTTTTTTCCCCTTTAGTCAGACTGGGCCTTACCATACTACTCTCTTTTGTGATCTATAGTTAAAATACTGGGGTTATTGAAGCTCTAATGCACACCTGCAAGTGGGAGTAGATCTCATGACCACTACAACACTGTTCTTTCCTCCAGCAAACTAAGTACTAGATCCAGTGACTTTCAGGATTTCTCATTTTCTCTTCCTTCCACTTTCCACCAAATAACAGACCAAGAGCCCATGAAATCAGATCTTTAGGGATTTATTTGTTTTCTTCTCTATTCTTATTTCTCTGGAGATAGTATAAGTTCAGGCTTCCTCTTTCTCCTCCATCCAAGTCTTAAGTACCACAGGATTAAGGCTTTTTCTGAGCCTGAGAGAGAAAACCATGCAGAACTTTGTGAGGATATAATTTTTTTGCTCTTTAGTCAGACTTCCTTGTAATTTTTGGCTTTTTCTGTTGGTCTCTTAGACCTTATCTCTACTTATCAGAGGATTGATGCTCCAGTGATCGATCTGCCAGGGTTCAATTTAGTGGGTCTAGTAAAGACCCGCTAAACCGAATGCTTAGGGCAGCCCCATGGATGGTGGTACTTGCTCTCATCAGAGTTGTTTACTCTTGTGAGTTTGTCAAGGCCTGATTACAAGGAACATTGATTATTTAAATAAAAAATTGCCAGTCCCATACTAAAGCGCTATAGAATGCCTTTAGTCCCATGTGTCATCTGGGAATGTTATGATGGTACATGGGATTACAACACGATGCGCATGTGGCTCAACTGCCTGTTCATCATGTCTGTCCTGTATTTTTGAAAAAGTGTTAGCAAACCTAGGTTTGTAAAATAGTGTTAGCAAACCTAGGATTGTAACACACATCTCTTAGGTACTATACCAACTTGATATTTTTCACATACAGCACCTGCTTTTTTAGTGTCTCCTTTGTTCCTGCTATTTGCCTGTTCTTCCAGTGTTTGAGTCTTACGGGCACGTATTCTTCCATAAACAGGCCTTTCTTCTTTTTAAAGAGTTCTTCCCTCTAGCTTCTAGCAGTTGTGTAAGCAGGGATGCAGTTCCTGAAAAGGGTGGGGATAATTTCCCTGAGGAAGATTCCAACTGAAACAGTTTCCGTATATTTAGATTTGTAAGAGATTCTGTTTCCAGGATTCTGGCCACCTTCCAGGTGGAGCTTCCACAGTCTAAAATCTGAGACTGATACTGGGGAGAGCTCTTCAGCAGCATGACTTCCTTTTGTTCAGGATCTTAGGTATCAGAAATGGTGTCTGACAGAAATTACTATACCTGAAGCCTTTGTAAAAAACAGTATTTTGTCAAACAGCTAAAATACTTCTCTTAAAACTGTAATCTCTTTTGACTTATTGATGTAACTAACACGAAAATAAATTCTTTCCTCAGACCATTTGAGACCTTTTTTTGATGCACCGAAGATTGGTAGTTGCATTGTTTGCAAGTTTATGCATTTAAGTTTATCCCACCTGATTCTCTATCTACAGAGTTTAGACTTGGTTTAACAGAGCAGATAACAAATATTAGTAGCTAACAGTCTGTTTTCAGAAATCATATGTATTGACTTAAGAAAATTCTAGTTGGAATAAAAAAGTTAGCATTTATTGTCCTGAAATATTCTCCTTATCTTGAATGGTAAATGGTATTTGAAAAAATCTAGGAGTTGTAGAAACAAAATTCTATAGGCAGTGTTATGTGAATGCTGTTGTAATAGCTCTGAAGGCATTCAACTAAAACATTTGTCTACAGAATTCCAGTTTGTTTTTACCAAAGTAATTGTTTTATTTAGCAGCAGATATTTATTCAGTCCATTTTGTAAGATAATTTTTTTTAATTGTTGTTGTTCTGCTTTCAGGTAATGAGCATGGTATCAGGATTTGCGCCACTAATTTCTGCTGGCATCTTTTCAGCCACCCTTTCTTCTGCACTGGCATCTTTAGTGAGTGCACCAAAGATTTTTCAGGTAAGCATATATAATGTCTTTGTTTCATAACAAAATAACTTCCCACTGAAATATATGGAACAGGGAGTTTTTGCATATTGGTGTCTTGGTTCATATTACTCAAGTTCTATACCTTGTCTTCTGTTTCTGAGTAGAATAACTAATAATGGTTCCAGTGTTTTAAAATGGAGCTAGTTATGTTTCAAATATGCTCTTATGACATAAGGTCCTTTATTTGCCATATGTCTGGTGTTGCAGTCTGCAGAGTTGAGATTCTGTAGTGCATGCTTCTTGCCTGGAGTTTTTAGTACAAAGAGATTTAGCCAAGTTTTTCTGAATTATCGGATTCAGCAGTTCCATACCAACTAAATCTGGAATCCTGGACAAAAAGAGGATCTTTCTGTACTGAGTACCACCTCAGCCTTTGACTCTGGTATTATGGCAGGCCAGTTGAGCTCTTAAATAGTGCTACCTCTGGTGATTTTCCTATCTGAGCGTTGAAAAGCAAGGTAAACTGTTAGTATGTGGAAGCAACCAAAGATTAGTGTGTTTTGTTTTAGAATTTAAAGAAGAAAAAATATTGCTACTGTGTCATCTTATGCATATTTGTGGTGCTGCTGATGCACAGCCTCTGAGCATAGAGCCCTTAAAGCTTTTACCTGCCAAAACTTCAAACCAGAATTGTTTACTTTAAGTGATTAACATAGCCATTTAACAGTGTAGAGTTGTGTATCTAGTTTGTTTTAGGCAGTGATTAGTGTGTAGGCAGTCCTTGCATTGATGCCATTGATTGAATTGGTTCAGAGTTCATTGATTGCTAGTTCGTTGATTGCTAAGATGGTCCACGAACCACTCTGAGAAACACTGCTCTAGGTGAGAGCAAAGGGATTTGTTGCTTGACAGTATGGAATAGTTTATTCCACTCTTGACCGTATCTTTTCTGTGGTTAGAGGAACTGATAGTTTGGCACCTCTTTTTAATGAGTACTGCATTCTTTTTAATGCTGTTATTAATTGCATATACTCCATATCTACTGGTGGTTTCTATTTGGAGCTAATGCACTGCAGTTGGATGCAATCCAGAAAGCTTAATGATATGGTAATAATAACCAAGTAAAATTGTAGAATCAGTAAATCTTCTTTCCCAGGGAACTTTTATACTAAACACTCAGCAGCAAGACTGTGAAGTGGGAAATGTGTATACATATTTTTTTATAAATTACTTCGAACTTGATTAGTTGCTGTAGCTGAAAGGTCATGTTATACTACACGTTTCCCCTCACTCCTTATATTGAGGTATGTAATAAAGGGTTCTGTGTTTTTCAGAGTTAAAGATCATGTCCCCTTCTCCCCCCCGCCCAGTGCTTGCTCTCTCTGCGTGAGTGTATGTTGAGTAACTGCTGTTTAGTTACTGTAGGAGTGCTTCATGTTTGAGGACCGTGAAAGAATACTATATACTTATACAAAAACAGAGAAACAATCCCCCAAATCCAGAAATCCTGCAGCAGGAA